TTTCGGGAAAAAAAAAAAAAAAAAAAAAAAAAAAGAGGATTTCAGCATTCTGTATCACACCACCAGTTTATTGTAATGAAGAGTATGTGGTGCATATTTTTGCCTTTTCTATGACAAGTGCTGAATTCCTCAGGGGGCTGGTGATTGTGCAGACAGGGCTCTGCAGAAAGCTAGGTCCCTCCCTGCCTTCCTCAGTTGAGAGCAGCCAGGGCTGAGGCACAGCCAGGGGAACCTGCATGGAGGTTTGCCCTGTTCCAGCAGCCAGAGCAGGAGAGCAGGATGCTGAGTTCAGCAGACTGAATTTTTGAGAGCATCAGCAGGAAAGGAGATGAGAGGTTTAAAGGGTGAAAAAGATATGAAGTAGAAATGCGTTAGGTATCCTGAGTGCCTGTTACTTGGCAAGCAGTGGTCACATTATCAGGCCAGACTGTTCTTCCATGGGTAAAGAGGGGAGTGCATCCTCCTTAAGGAGCAGAAAAATAGGCCATATATGCAGCAACACAAAGTGCTGCATGTGAAAGCAGTGCATAAACACTATGGACTAAACTAGTGCAGGATAAGATCACTGTTGAGAACTAGGAAAAAGAGACTCCCAAGAAATGGGAAGAAAATGAACTGCTTTTGTAAATTTCCCGCAATTCCACATATCAAAAGAGGTTACACATGAATGAAACCATGATGTATGATTTGGCTTCTTAAGCATTAAAAATCCTTTCAACTATGGCTGCAGTGTTCATTCCCAAATGATTTTACTTTGTGTATTTATTTAGAGAAAGCTGAAACAGTTTGCCATTTATGTGTATTCAGAAGCTGCACATTTCCAAGACTATAAAGGAAACCTTAGAAAGAAATTACTTTCAGAACTGAATTGATGATATTTAAAAATGGATTAAAAAATGCATTAAAAATTCAATAGATGTAAGAAAGAAAAATCTCAGTTGTCATATTTTTGTGACTTGATCACAGAAAGTGATTGTGATGCACACATAAAACTGGACAGCACAGATTTCTGTTCATCATTCATTCATTTTACATTATGCATTTGCCTGAACAGTTGCTTCCCACATTGTGAATCTTTTGTGTGACTGTTTTGAAACATTTAAAGATGGAGGTCATATAAAATATAGCTGTTTGTGTCATTCTGAATTTGTGCATAAACTCTCACACAGATTTGGGTTTGTGTACCCATACAGGAAATCTCAGTTTTATAGTTCGGGAGGGTAAGTATTTGCATTTATAATAACGGAATGAGACCTAGAATTAAATGTCAAAACTATGTAAATAACACTTGGATATAGGAGATAGAATATCCTGAAGTATGGTGAGTTTTCAACTTTTTTCAAACACCAACAGCTTTCCAAGCATATACAATATGAAAGTCTACATTTTGTGATGGTGTTGTTCAGGTTTTGTTCTTAAAAAGCAGCTCTAGTAAGTGTGGAAATTGTCATAGGAGTACTATTCTATTCATTTATAATTCAGGAACATTAGAGGAATGAGATTTGTTGAAATGACCACTCTCAAATAATGTCATTGTATTCAATTTTCTGACCTATAAGCAGAAAAATTAATTACTGAAGAGAATTTAATTTAAAAAAAACAACAAAAAAACAACAAAATTAACCTGAAAGTGTTATTCTGCTCAGACTGCTGTTTAAGGTACCTTTAATGTTTTCAGCAAGTCCATTCTGTCAGGACTGCTGTCAAATCAACCTCCACAGCACCTGCTCAACAAAGCCTTTGTACTGTCCTGGAAGCAATGTGCTCTTGGTTGCTTTTTCCATGGCCTGCTGGATGGAAGAGGCTGTGTAAGCCAGGGTTTCATATTGCTGAGCAGAGATAATTAGAGATGCCTGTCTTTTTTTAAGGCAAAAGGTCATAATTTTTTTGAGTTGGGTAGAATGTGGGCTTTGGATGAATATTTTCTGTGCTAGCTGCAGCCTGTCTGTTCTATATGCTGTTTTATTCTCCAGTAGTGTTTTGCTTGCCCTCTGCAAGTCTGTAGAGTCTTGTAAGGCAGAGCAGAAGTCTGGAAGCAACTCCCAGTCCTGGTGGGCAAAATGTCAGCATATTGGTCAGTGAAAGAGAGAATTGCTTGATTCAACCTAAACCTTTTTTTCCACTGTGCCACTAACTTCCCCAAAAGCTCCATACTCGCCCAGCCCTGCTGGGTCAGTATGATCAGAAGTTAAAGGTTGCCATCTAATGGGGAATGTACATAATACAATCTTCATCAATAATTTGGTTTTACCAAATTATCTCTTCTTGTCCTTCTCCATGTACCCATAAGTATTTTCTTTACAAGGCACTAGAGGAATGAGAATATTTTATTCAGATTTTATGTAGGATGGTAAATGGTACTTTTATCAGTAACAAGATGTTGCAACCCAGTGAGAAAATCCAGTAATTCAGAATTAAATGTAATTTCTTAATGCTTTTTCTATTAATTCAGATATAGATGAGTGTTCCTTTGAACGGACCTGTGACCACACCTGTATCAACTACCCTGGAAGCTTCGAGTGTCTCTGCCACAAAGGCTACACCTTGTATGGACTGACGCACTGTGGAGGTTTGGAAACTGAGTTTTGCTTACATGTGTGTTTGTTTGCTTTGTGAACTGTTTACAGAGCCACATGTTCTTTGAGATTAAGGTTCTGTAACTTAAGATGATAAAGACATAATGTTAAAATAAGCTTAAAATATGAGCTGGGTGTGACTAAAATTTCAGTATCTCAAATTTGCTGAAGCATTCCCAAGAGAAAAAAAAATGAAAACCAATGTCCCACCATTTTTTGATCAGAACTTCCACAGGAGTGAGTTTTTTTCACACCTGTAGGGAGGCTTCATATGATGGGCAACAAAGAAAATAGGGGAAAGATGTCAATTTTGCAAAGTTTATGTATTTTGGCTCTGTTGGCAACTGCCTGTGAAATGCATAACAGAAGGCTGTGGTGGATATTCCTCCTATCTTCTGGGGACCTGCTTTCAAGCTTTTTGGTATGACTGGAAAGAATCGGTACTGTAATGTTTCATTATCTAGGAGAGAGATATTTTTGAAGTACAGCATTACCACAATGACCAAATTAGAGGTTCAGCTGATGTAACAGAAACAGATGTGCTGGCCCCTCACTTCCGAGGGCTGAGTTCACCTGATTTTGTAATGTCAACATGAGACACTGCTAATGGCATCTCTGCACGGCTTCTTTTTGGGAGAAAGAGGTAGGAGGTGTATGCTGGTCTCTCTTTTATGGAAAAGTATCACATAAATTCACGATAAGAGTAGAGCCAGGTGGGAAGAGAAACAGGAGTCCATCTAAGGAAGCAGTTTGGGAACAGACCCCACTTGAAAACAATTGTGAAAGCAAATTCTGAGTCTGAAAGTTTTTGGGACCTGTATTATATGAGGTGTGGAGACACTGATCTTCAGTTTCACAGTTAATTCCTTAATGACTTAATGTAGTAATTTAGGGAAAGAAGCCTCAAAGTTTGGAGTTCTACATCAGTCTTTAAATAACCTTCAGCCTCAGTTCAGCTTCAGTCTTTTCAGTAAGACTGAAGAAGGACCAAAACTATAGCTGGAAATACTCAGTGCTGAAACTTGGAGCAAAAACATGACCAGATCCAAACCTCCTGCTTTTTTTTTTTTCCATTATGAGCAGATACAAAATCACAACTCTGAATCTAGACTTGTCCAGGCCCCAAGTTTTGCCACTTTGGCCTGTCCTTAGTTTTAGTCCTTGCATGCTTAATTTTGAGGTCTACTAGTGAGCCAGAGCATTAGCAATTCTGTGTATCTCCTGTTGATTCAGTGTCATTTCAGCTCATTACATAAATAAACATCCTTTCTGGTGGTGGGAAGAGAGCAGATGAGAGACTGACCTTGTCGGCACGAGTATATGAGTGCTGAATGCATGGACTAAAAAGGACACACCTCATACTGGCTAAATACTTCTCTAATGTACCAAAAGTTGAAAGATTTTCTGTGGAATATCAATGATAACACATACAATAATTTCTTCCCCTTCTTGTAAGCTTTACCTTTTATTTTTATTCAAGGAGTATATATCTAAACTACAATTCAACTGCTTAGTTTCTTTCAAAAGTATAATTTCCTCCTTCACCTGAACTAAAATAAACTCTGTGAATCACTGTAGAGAATTTATCTCCTTGTTTTGCAGAAGTGATGTGATCTCATAGAGGTTTATGCCAGTTTTCTGTGTAACACATCATTGTCCAGATGCTGCAGAAACTTTTGAGCATGTTTTATATCTTGTACTTCCAAGAATTTCAGTGTGACTGGTCCTGGCAAGTAAACTGTATCAAATGGATAAATGCTTGGGAGAATAGGAGCTGTGCAGTTTAAGGCCAAATACGTGCAATATGCACTAAAGTCGTTTGGCACTGTCTGTCTTCATACATGTTTATGTGGGCTCAAATGTAAAAGATAAAATAGAAATGGGTTTCCTTATGCAAGTCATATCTTAATGGGCAGTATATGTGTATACACATGGTTAAGACTCCTCACAACTTTAAATATGTTTTTAGATGTTGATGAATGCAGCATCAGCAATGGTAGCTGTGACTTTGGGTGTCTTAATACCATGGGGAGCTATGAGTGTGTCTGCCCACCTGGAAAGAAACTGCACTGGAATAAAAAGGACTGTGTTGGTAAGTGTGGAAATGTGACTCAGAGGTGACTGTGGTGAGGCTCCTGTTCTCCAGTAGGGTGCAAAAGTCCTTGGTTTTGTTTGAGAGAAGCTGCATTTTCACAATCTAGATCCCCAAATTAATTTTATAAACTCAGATAACACCTGATCCTGTGGAGCTCCATGGGCTAGGATACAACTGTAGGTGGATTAGCAAATGAGCAGTATGTTGGATTTCATTTGTGTGGAATGTTTTTATAAGTTTATGAGTCCATTCACAGAAATTGAAGTATTATTATTATCTTAGGTATTTTATATTTTTGTCCTTAATTTGCACTCTTCCCATCTCCATAATGTCAGCTATAACTCTATTTACCTCTAACACTAATTTAGAATATTCAAAATATTTAACTGTTTACAAGTAGGACATGGTAGGACATAATACCTACATTCACAGAACCATACCCAAAATTTTCAAGTTATCTCTAAAGGTATCCTGCTTCATATAAAGTACTGACACTAGCTGTGTTAAAAGTATTCATCACAATGAGCACAAATCCTGAGACCAGAAAAATTTGGCACTTGCTGCTAGTGCCACTTTGGGACAGACCTGAATTTCTGTATCCTTTAAATAGATGGCTTCTTTTTCTGGAGTCTTATTTGAAGCACAGCAAATCTTGGTCATGGCTACAGCCAAAGCCTTTTCTGTGAGATTTTAATTCTGGTTTTTAATTTTTAATGAGAATGGCATACCTGGGGTTTTCCATGGCCAAATTTTGAAAACACAACTTCTCATAGGCACATTTGTGGATGATGCCTAATGCCTAACTGGGAGCCAGACAGAACAAGAAAAAGGGGGAATCTCCCTTCAGGGAATCTCTGCACATACTGAGAGAAAGCACTGCTTAAATCTGGAGTAGAGAGCACTGCACTGGCCTTGTGTGATCATGCAATTGTGGTGTTGTTTACATGGATACAGCAGTATGGAAAGCACTTTATAACCAAGGTGGGGTGGGGGATGAGATCCTCAAGCGGAATTCCAGCCTTTTCCTCTATGTTCTTCCTAAGTACAATTAAGTGCTTCGCTTTCCTGCTTACCTGTCTACTACCTTCCCTGCTATGCAGAGAACTAAGCATTGTGACAGCAAGAAATACCTCACTGTGGTTTTTAGTTATCCACTAGGTCTCCCTTGCCTTACCAGTTATTCCTCTGGAAAGGGTTTTGTAAGTTAACAGCTGGGACTAAAATTTTTGGAGGTCTGGTATGAAGACTACTTGTGCTATATTCCCTCTCAGCCTACTAAGAATGTTGGTAAGAGACTGTATTGAAAATATTTTCCTGGTTGTAAATTTCTCCTCATTATTTATAATGCTCAGCTGGAAGATGGAAATAGAACACCCTTGTCTATTGACACACACTCCAGTATTTGGTGACTTCATTGAGACTTAAAATGAGCATCATCTCCCTGCTGATCACCTGCCTTTCTAGCCAACATTTTTGAGAGGAAACTACATTCTAAATTGCTACAAAAGCACAATAAAAAGTGGAATAATTATATTTAGTGATGCTGAATGCCATGTGATTTGGAGACATTTGCAGTAACAAAACTCTCTTTTGTTCAGCAATGGCACTTTGTGCTTTGTTGTCTCCTCAGTCCAAGGAAATAGTTTCTTCAAAGACATCACCAGAGAAACATAGAAGACTTAGGAGGGAGATAAGTGGAGGATGATTATTCCCATATCTGAGATGTGAACATCAGGCATGTTTATGGGACTTGTATCTATTTATATTTAATGACCAGTGAGGCCAGGAATACAAACCAGCTGGACGCTGCTGGGACTCTTCCTTTGCATGCGAGCCAAGTCAGGCAACACTCATTCCAGCTACTGCTTTGGAACTGCTTGGTTTCATGATGACTTTATTGGGCTTTTCCCAAGCCTTGGTAGACCCAAACCAGTCTTGCTGCTACAAGGGTTGCTTCTGACACCAGAAGCAACCCTTACCTTCGTGTGGTCTGCTGGCAAGCCCACAGGTGGGAAAAATTACATTTACAGAGCCACAGTGAGTAGTAAGAAAAGCAAGTGTCAGCCAAACCTATCTTGTAAGGTGAGCAGATTGGAAAGAAATAGCAAGAAACAGAGAAAAATTATGTACCTGAAACAGCATTTCTATGGGGCTGAAGCAAGAGCTGCCCTACAGCCATCTGGCTGAGACTTAAGTCTCAGCTGCTGCAGTGTGGAAAAGCTGCTTGAAGAGGTGCCCAGCTGCACTTGGTCAGTGGTCATTGCAGAGGGGAACCTTCTGGGAAAAAGAGGGAAGCAGTGAGGCTTCCTCCCTGTAGAAAGTGATGGCATGTGCCAGCTACAGCCAAGAATGAACCTTGTCATTTGTGGGGGAAAAGATGTGCTTAAGTAATATTTCAATCCCAAAAGGATGGCAAATTAAAATAAATGCAGGTTTATGACTATCAGTGTCATACCATCTTCTCAGGGTGAAGCACAGAGAACTGCTCCAAACAATCAACAATAACGTCATGTGTTTTCAGCTGAAACACAAGCACTCCCTTACCCAAGTATGAAGACTCACTTGGGAGACCTGCAGGATGCTCTGACTTCATCCTGCCATAAGCCAAGAGGAGAGTCTGGATTTTTCCTTCAGATGAGCTGCAGTGTGCCTCATGCTGTAGGCACTGATGAAAGATGGCTCTGTGATCTCTGTGTGTGTCACAGGGTCCCTTCTAGCATTGTTTGGGACATTTCAGCAGCATCTGAAAGGGCCAGCAGGACTTTCCATCTCCATCCTAGCGTCTCCTGCCTCACCTCTGCCTTGTTTGAAATTTTTTAGCTCCAGAAGCTAGAGCATGGAGTTAAAGTTAAAAAGTCAGTGGGAGTTAGAGAATTTAAAAATACTATTTTAGTGGTCATCTAAGTAAGCAGAGCACTGTGCACAGTGTGTAGTTGGTCTGTTAAATCAGAGAGCTGTGCCTCCAAATCAGAGAAAGGGAATCTCAGGTGATCCGTGTTTCCTGTTGCTTCTGAGATCAAGATGTGCACACACAATTGTGCTCATAGAGCACAAAGATCCCAAAGTGGAGGATAGGAGAGAAAGATTGATCTAGAATTTAGGTCTAAAAATGGGAAGGAGTTTCATTTTCAAGTACAAGCTTAACATCCCAATCCAGATGCTCTCCCTTATGTGTTTATTGCAGAAATACTTGTATCTGTCATTATGTTTTTTGCCACTTCCTGCCTTTTTTTCCAAGTGTGCACACAAGGTTCTGTGTTGGGCAATTGTTTTACATTTCCTAATTTTTTTTCTCCTCAGAGATGGTGAAATGTCTCCCAAATACCAAACCAGCTCCCAAGGCTCAGCTAGTATGCAGTAAGACAGGAGGCATAGAGAGCTGCTTCCTGTCATGCCCATCCAATACTCTTTTTGTTCCAGGTTTGTGCAAAGTATTTGTCCTCTTATGTCTAGGATGTGACTTGCTGACTTTCTCTGTTAATGTATTCATGATTCTTGCATTCATTTTTTGTTATGGACAACAGTAAATGAGCAAAACCTCATTATAAATTAAGAGCAACTACGCATGAGAAGATTGGTCCTTCATTGTTTAATTTGAGATGTCAGTTGCAAGGGTGGGAAAATTCTAAAAAGCTTGTATTAAAAAGTAACAGGAATTCACTGAAATCAACTGTTCATTTTTGCCTTCCCTTTTGTCACAGCAGTTCAACATATAACAAATTTTTTCTGCACCATCGTGGTTAAGGTGGATGTGTCTCTCAATCCAGCTGAGTAGTATTTATAAAAAATTGGGCATTTCATTCCATTTCCTCCTTTTTTCTTTTCTTGCCATTTGCTACTTGTAGTTTTCATCTTCACAGTTTTGCAGGGAAGGAGTGCGGGATTGCTGCTTCTTTTTCATAGATGTTCTGGCACATGATTATTTTTGGTGTCTACTTTTCACGTTTAGTCTTGGCAGTATATGCAGTCAAGCTAATGTTTTATTCACATTTTATTTTCAGTTTAGCAGAGACTACTGAAACTGTGCATTTCTCTAATTTGTAAGCACCAGGACACAGGTTTATCTCTGTAATATGTAAACACTGAAGTACGCCATTTCTGTTTCTGCCAATAAATTCTGTTGGAGCCTGAAGCTAAAATTATTATGACAGTACATGGTTTGTTTTCTAAATTACAGGGATGATCAAAGGAGAAGGACTTTGCCATGGACAAACACAAAATATTTTTCAATTGTGCACAGCTAACCTTGTGCTGAATCACTTATGAAATGTATCATTTCAGTGCTAGGAAGAAACAAACCTTGTAGTCAACGCTGTGAAGCATTGAAGCTTTTGGCAAAGTATTTCAGCCACTTAAAATCTAAGTTCAGCATTTAAAACGTCTCGTTGTTTAGCAGCATAGAGAAGCTGAAGCCTCGAGCAGGTGCTTTGTGAGGCTGTTGCCTGAGTGCTGACTGTGTTCTGTTCCCCCAGACTCGGAGAACAGCTACACACTGAGCTGCGGCATCCCCGTGCAACACGGCAAGGCACAGCCCAGGCGCAACTCCACCCTGCCCAGCTGCTCAGGTGGGTGCTGCCCTGCTTGCTCCCTCTTTCCTGGGCCTAGGAAGGGAGGGGATGGACCTCAGGGAATTGCAGGACATCAGATCCATTTGTTAGGTAAGGCAAGGTTTAAGGTGTTGCCTAATAACAAAAAGAAAAACCCTGGGACAGAGTTGAAGTGGTAAGATAAAAAAGTAATTCTTCCAATAGAGTAATAAGATACAAAACCAATTATTCAATGAAAGCTTTCAGGTCAGCAAAATACGGCTCTGTGCACACGTGGTACAAAATTTCTATGATTCTATAAGGTTAATTAATTAGGATATCCAATAGGAAATCAGTTACCCCAGTAACCCATCCATGGGTCAGTCACCCTGGGGCTTCTTTGCCCTATTCCCTTGTTATGTCCCTTAAGTTCTGGTAGAAAATAAGATGTCCTTGTCAGGAATTTTCTTCTTAAGAATAGGGCTAAACAGAATTCCAAGTATGTGTTAGTAGGGTTAGCTTATTATTCTAAAATCTAAGATAAAAGGTAGGAAAAATACCAGCTATATAACCATGTATTAAGAGTCTACAAAGCTACGAATATATTGAAAATGTATAAAAAGCAAAAATCTTTAGGCATCAAAGGTAGCCAATGTCCCCTTATGCACACACTTTTTCTGCAGCCTCTCCTTGAGGGTGGGGTATGTGGAGCTGCAGCATTGTATTGAAGGGTCAGTGTGGGAGGATGGGTGCTGCAGGTTTGAATTATGTTCAATAAGGACAAATATTTAGAATTGTTTGCTTTCCATAGTCTAACAAGGCAACAGTGAGCATATCAAAACAGGACTTTTTCCCAGGCTCAGGCTGAGCCAGAGGGACCCAGCAGTAGCACAAGGTGGGGTCCTAGCCCTCACCTGCAAAGCCCTTCCACAGGAGCACAGGCTCTCCTACTGCAAGGATAAAAGGTTATCCTCCCATGAAAAGGTTATGAGACTTCTGTGAGAAAATACTGCATTTATTTCATTCATCTTTTTCTCAAAAATGGCTGGACTGTTTTTGCAGAGAGATTTCAAATGTTTATGGAAGCTGACAGTATGGAAAAAACCAAACCAAAAACTTGAAGCCTGGCAAAATTAGAAACAGCTGAAACATCCAGCAGTAGGAGGAGTCAGCCCACCATACACATACCTGCTGTACTTCTCTCCCATTTTCCAGTTCTCCAGACATGTATTTCCTATATATTTGGGATAGGCTAGGAGGTACATTGTTGTGGAGTGGTACGGTGCTGTGGAGTGACACATCCTGGAAGCAGATGTGTCTGCTTGTGGCACAGGATCAGGCCACCTGTAAAGTCCTGGTTCAGCAAAGCCCTACCAAGGAAAGAGGGACCCATGCTGTGGCGTCACCTGGCACCATCCTTCACCTTCAGCAGGGCCAGTGCACAGCCCACAGCAGCTGGCAGGTGACAGGCCAGTCTCTTCATCCAGGGACTTCGTCAAATCAGACAGCAGCTCAATTTTCTACTCATGGCATGGCTGTATAAAACATGAATGTGAAACCTGCCTTTGTTCAAAGCTGAGGGATAAAGCTTGAAAGCCACAGACTGCAATACAAGGAGTTCCTTTGGATGGTTTTCAGTTGCCAAGAGCATAGCTCCACTAAATAAGTCTTAGTGGCACTAGTAGGAGCAGAACTACAACTAACATGGGAATTCACAGACAGAGAGTCCAGGAAAAAAAAAAAAAGGTAGGATTAAATATTTCTCATAGTAAAAGACAAATTTACCCAAAATCCGAGATGTGCAGAGCAAGCGTGGTACGAGCACATTCATTAATCTGCGTGGGCCCAAGAGTAGGTACTCACTTAAAAAAATGAACTTGTGGAAATGGGCCCATTGCACAAGTGTAATTCTTGGGTTGCCTCTTTTTTTAAGTCACAAGAAAGCACTTGAGTCAGTTTTTAAAAATTTTTAAAAATGTCTCATTTCATTTCCATCCCAATGGCAGCTTTTTTTACTTTACACCAACAGATTCCCTAGCCTTGCCAATCAAGCAGAAAGTTCGTTTTAAAATCAAAGATGCAAAATGTCATTTACGGCCTCGCAGGAAAGAAAAAACAAAAGATTCTGGGAAGCAGGCTGTTTCAGGTATGTGGTTTCTTCCAGCATGTAAACAACACTTTAATTAGTTTTATTGTTTGCTTGTTCATTTACATGCTTTGTTTTCACACTGCAGACAGGAAAAAAAATCAGTGGTTTTCATATTTGGTGTGAATTTATGTTCAGGCCAAGATTCCCACTCTGGCTGAACTCTGCCTTGGGTTTGGCTCTTGCGTGCTGAAAATCTCACCAGTTGCTTTGAAAAATCTTTGTTCAAAAATATATGAGTTGGGAATTAAGCCGATCCTTCTTCTGGCCTGGATAATGGCAGAAATGCCCTGACAAAAAGCAATGACTAAGGCAAAGTTATGTGAAACAGTGTCAGTTTGGTTGGTTTAGTTTGGTTTCCCAAATGAGTTTTTAAATGAAAACAAAAGCTATTATTTGTTTGGTTTATACTGGATTAGTAACCTATTGTAGCGCCAAAGACAACCCCTAAAAGCGAAGGTTATTATGAAAATCTGATGTTACACAGGCTTAGATCTTTTGTTATGAAAGAGTGAGTAGTTATGATGTTAGGAAAAAATATTTATAAGATTTAGGTATAAATAACAAAAATGTTGTATTAAAAAAGTTATATTGCTGCTTAAATCAACTTAGCAGCTTACACCAAACATCTACTGGTGATGCATTCTCTGTTGTGAATTTGTTTTACCACCACTTTCACTAGTGAGTGAGAAATCTTGTATGATCCCTGAACAAAGAAGAGTAAAATAGCTATTTTTTAAAAAAGTAAATGGTTCAAAGATTTTATTTTTTAAATTTAGACTCATATTTCATCTTTACCCTGCAGTCTACACATGCTATCTCTAATCTTACAAGTACTGACTTAAGTCTTAGTCATCAAGATGCTTATCCTGTGAATAAGGTGTGATTATCAGACTTATTTTTAAAGTCATAGAAGTTGAATTTTTCAGTCCATACAATCACTGTGGGAATGTGGATTTTGCATGCATTTCCTTGTTCTTTGTTTCCTCTGCTTTGCATTTGTTCTGTCATCTGAACCTCTGAGTCTAACACTAAGATTACCTCAGACAGCCACACCCTTGGAATGAAATCCTTCTGGTGCCTTGAGTACTACAAATTCCTCTCTCTTCCCTGACCTGGAAGGTCCATCATCTGTGGCAAACTACAATTCCTGCTCAGATAAAACCTTCCAATACATTTTCATAATCTCACATTCAAAGCCTTTTAAGCCTTTGCTATCTGATGATCGTCACTTCTGAAAGAGATAGAATACCCACTGATAGTTTTTAGAGGCCCAGGCCTGACATTCTCATAGATTTATGTAACTGGCTCTCTTGCTTTGTTTAGCCATCAAATATAGTTTATAGTATTTGCTGATTTTAAGATCATTTCTGTAAAGAGCTTTCTAATCCTTATGCAGAAAAGGGCCAGGCAGTTTTAGGCATTGGAGGCCCCACTGTGCAGCTGAGCATCACCAGACTGCTTTTGCCTTCTGCATCCACTAGCAAAATGAGCAAACCCAACACTGCCCAGAGAAGGAGGTGTCTCACAGCACATAGGAAATGTTATGAAGGCTGTCACTGCATTCATGATAACCCAGTGAGATACCACTTTTTAGCCTGTCACTTGCTACTTTGCTACTTGATTTCTTTCCTGTGTTGCTTCTCTTGTGCAAAGGAGGTCAGTTCCCCTGTACAGACAACTGCCAGGTGACGTTTGTGAATCTCAAGTGTGATTCCTCCAAGAAAAAACGACGAGGCCGCAAGTCACCATCAAAAGAAGTGTCCCATATCACTGCAGAGTTTGAAGTGGAGATGAAGTCTGAAGAAGTCTCAGGTTTGTGAAAGAGAAATCAGAATTTAGTTCTCCAGTGTGTTGTTAAATTCTCCTTGAAGCTATTTCATCAAGCTGCCATAAACACCTTTTAGCACAAGCCTCATTCAACAGGTTTCCAAACTCAAAGATTTAATTAAAGAAATAAAGATTTCAGAGATATATTTGACAAGAGCCAAGGATGAAATTAAGCCAAAGGAACAAAAATTGAACCTGCATCAAAATTCCTCCAAGGTTTTGAGTTAAATCATGTGCTTTAATCCGGTCTGATTTCTTTAAACAGCAGAAGTGTTGATCAATGTACAGGGAACATAAAGATTAGGTAGAAGTTCTGCAAAAAGGTTGATAAAAATATCCTCCAAAATGTAAGTTGCTTAATATTTAGTCTGTGAATCAGACAGTTTTATCACACAGTTGAAAAATTCATGTTTTCTTACCAAACTTTGGAATAAAACTAATTACCTCAAGTTATAAATGAGATGGAATATTATGTTATAAATTCCAGCCAAAGAAAATGTGGAATGAATCCTATAAAGATGCCAGTCTTCAAAGGCTGATTTCTTAACCTTGAGGGGCACCTCATTAGCCAAGTAGTTCAAACAATAGTTGTGCCTGAAATCACATTTCTTTCTGTCACTGACACAAAGGTGTTTTGGTCAGGGAAGTGGCAGGAGTTCCTAATCAATTGAGAAAAGCGTGGGCAGAGAAAATTCAGGGACATTAACGGTGGTAGACTGCACACACAGCTGAAGGGAGAACACACGTGGATTGATGCTTTCTGCAGCACTCAGCGTGCACTTGCAGGCTATGGAACTGTTCCATGGACCTCAGGATACTGTCCTGTCCCTTTGAAAGACCTGATCTTGAATACAATGAGCTGCTGCTTCAATTTATATGGGCAACACAGTGAAACAGACAGAGGTGTCGTAGTGCAGTGCAGGCTAAGCTTTTTGTTAAGCACCTCTTTTAAACATGAATCTCAATTGCTTCTAGTTTTGTTATCATTTCCCATTTAGACACCTGTAACATTGACTGTGTTCGGAAAAGGATGGAACAGAAGCTGCAAACTGCAATCAAAACATTGAGGAAATCTATTAATAAACAGCAATTTTACATTCAGTTTTCTGGGACAGAATATGAAGTGGCTCAGAAGCCAGCTAAAGCTACTGAAGGGCATGAAGCATGCAGTACAGGGCAAGTACTGCAGGTTGGAAAATGTGGTAAGTCCAAACAGCTTGAATATTCAGTCACATCCCCCAAAACAAGCAGTCTAAAATTACCTTTTCCATGGTGAACCAAGGAGGAAATCTCTGAGATAATGACTTAGAATTTAATAATCAGTGTTACTCAGCATATATACATGGACTATGGATGGTTCATAAGAGTCCAAAGGGAATTCATTAGATGGTTGTAGGAAATCAAAAGTATAAATATGGATACATTCCTATGCTGTCAAGTGGTAGGTATCAAAACCTGCCACAAGAAAATGTTGGCAGTTAGTTACCAGTAGTTCCCATCTTATCAAAACACATTTACAATTTGGTAAAGCAGTAATACGATGTTTGCCTAGTAGCTGTATATTTACTTTTATATCACCAACTGTCACTGTCCTCACCATCAAATAATCCATGATCCATGGATATGAATTAATGCTCAAGAGGTCCAGTTAAAAAAAAGAATTATAGAAATCTATTTTATGTAAAATACCTAATTTATTTAAGCCTTTTCCCATGTTATCAGGCTTTAGTGCTTTTCTGTGCTTTTTAAAAGCACTTTTTAGTGCTTTACTGCTTTCCTAAAGTGCTACTGCAGATTTATTAATGGCAGTTCTTAGCACTGCAAGCTTTCTAATCACTTACAGACATCTTTTCAAAATCAGCATACCTATTTTTCTAGCTTTTGAGATACCAAGTGATTTACAATCCAAAAGTCACATCTGATAGGTGCTTCTAGTGAGTGGGTTCAGAGGTAGTTGTCATCATGTAGGAGCAGTGATTTAGAAACTGTATTTGCAATGCTGTTGCTATCAGTATCTAGAAACTCAGACATTTTGACCACTCCTATCCAGCTGAGAAAAATGTGTAAGGCATGTCCTGTTAAAGCGAGAAAAGCACATGTATTCATATCTGTATTTAAAATGCTGTACAGTTGGGGTATTTGAGTGGCAAGAGACAGAAATTATTACTGGGGACACATTGCCCATGGAGAAATCTCTAGAACTGATCTCAGTTGACTTTTTGTAGTCATCGGCCATAAAACCAACTTGTAACTGCACCTGGTATAAACTAAAAGCTCATGCTTCCCACACTCTCTGCAGCACTGCTTTAATAAACTGCAAGATACTGTTTTAAGACTGTACCCAGCTTTATTAACAACTCATGTGTGATACACACCTGAGTGCATTACAAAGCCAGTTAATAGTTTAAACAGTAGAAGCAGGACCTCACCCTGATATAAATTGACCTAAACCACAGTGGAGATGGGTCTGTTTACATCAGGGAAGGATCCTGGACTAACATATGCAAAACATGTGCCATCATAAACCTGGGGCCAAAGACCTTCTCTAAACATTTGATATTACAGCAAATAATGTGATCAAAGTGAAGATCCTTACGTAGGCTCCCCTTTTGTTTCCTCAGTTACCTGCAGCACAGGCACCTTTTATAGTGGACAACACAATCAGTGCATTCCATGCTCGCCAGGAACATACCAGGACACCGAAGGCCAGCTCACCTGTGAGCCTTGCCCCAGTAACGATGGCCAGGGAGTAGCGGGTGCCCGGAACGTGTCAGAATGTGGAGGCAAGTTGAACTTGAATATAAAAGCTTTAGGTGTTGCCACACACAGCCTGTGAGGCAAGGAGGCTGAAAGAGGAAAGAGCCTGCCACAGTTCTGTCTTGTAAAGGTAACAGAAGAAATCTCTGTGCACTTACAAGCAACGGATGGTTTGGCTTGGACTACCTACTCACATTGCTGACAAAACAGTGGGATCTGCTACAGTAATGTGAGTTATGGTATGGAGATAAGCAAGCCAAGCAAAATACTTTGTGCTTCAGGTCAGGTATGGAAGTACCTTGACTTGTAAGGACTCACCTGTACATTGTGAGCCAAAGGGATGGATTACATTGGACTGGTATTGGTGAGTCTAATAATGAACTTGCTCATTTATTGTTTTGCATGAGATGCAGCTTACCTGCTCTAATTAGCAGCAATTACAAATTTGAGACAGTTAGGCTGCAGGGATCTGTAACCCACACTCAGAACTAATGACTGCAATTTTCAGCACTGCTTGAATGCACTGTAACTTTTGGCCAGTGATGTAGCATCTCTGATTCAACTTCATGATTTATAAACTAAGTTACAATGATGATAATACCTGCTGCTTCTACTGTAACTTGGTCAGTCTAACTTTTTATGATACAACTGTTAATTATTTTCTTTACCTCATTTCATTACAGACTATCAAAATCTAGTTTATAGCAGATACAGTATCTGACTTTGAAATAAATCTGTCCTATCTGCTACAAAATTTCAAACTTGAAAACTCATCCATGTAATTTGCATTAATGTGTTCTTCAAGGATGTCTAAAGAGAACACATGTCAAATGTCACTTGAGAAACTGCTACTTTTTTCCATCTACTGAACAAAAAATAACTGCAGTGTCTCCAGTCCAAACATATGATAGATTTTGCTGATTTGCTGTATGAAGGAGCTATCAGACAAAAAATTTGAAACACCTGTGCATCTTTACTATACTGATTTGTATTTATCCATAACACAAGAAAGCTTATCAACATACAGTTTGAGTTTATAAAGATTGACTATAGCATAGTCAACACAAAAGCAGCGTAACAACTAGAGGAAAGTTTCAAGGCTTACATTGGAATTATTGTTCTGTACAAGAACAAAAAAAAAACCCTTTTGATTATTTCTGAAGAATATATTTATTTCACAATATTAATTGTCAGATCAAAACAGTCTTTTTCTGCTTAGCTCTCCCCTTTTCCTCTGGAAGTAGCAAGAGAGAATATGCTTTGGACTTCATAAATTTCCCTGTCAAAGATTTTATCAAAATTTGTGTCAGCACATATGATGAAACAGTGTATTTTTTATAATGATACTTTGTTAGAAAGTCTGTACTGTCTGTACTCACTGCCAGTAATCAATAGTATTTTTGCATAGTATCTTCCAGAGCAGAAATGCCTGTGCAGTAACCAATAGACTTTTACTGAAATCCTCACTTCCAAATGTAAGGAATGTATGTTCCACAAGTATGTCAGAGATTTTAAGTGCCTGTTGTGCAGAAATCACCTGTAGCTGCCAATGAATTCCATGCTGCAGTGGACTGCCCCTGCCTGGACACCAGGCGCCCACCAAAGCTGATCTCATTGTCTTCCTCAGGTGGAGAGGAGGGAGACAGGGTAACAAATGTTCATAACTTAAGGGCAGGGAGAGACTACTCACCAAATATCAAACAGACTCAAATTGGGAAAATTCAGTGAATTCATTACTAATCAAAACCAGAGCAGGATAAGGAGAAATAAAATATCTCCTAAAAACACCCCTTCCACACCCCTCCCTTCTTCCCAGCTCTACCACCTCCCAACGAGCAGTGCGGGAAATGGGAATGGAGGTTATGGTCAGTTCATGACACTGATGTTGTTTCTGCTGCTGCTCCAGCATGGGGTCCCTCCCATGGGAGACTTAATTAACTTCTCCAATGTGACTCCATCTCATGGGGCAAGAGTTCTCCAATATGAGTCACTTTTCCAAAGGGTCAGTCCTTCAGGCACAGCCTGCTCTAGCATGGGTCCCCTACAAGGGTCACAAATCCTACCAGGAAACATGTTGCATTCTGGGTTCCAGTAACCAATTGGACCAGGCCAGGTAGATCCATTTTGCTCCTAAAAACAAGGGCAAAATTGTCCACAGATTAGTAATATCATAATATTTCTCTGAGATCTGTGTCACAACGGCCAGTTTGTAAAGTCATATTCCAGCCAGATGGGATTGGAGCACAACTAAATCCTGGAGATCCTGACTTCACAAGTGGCCGTAGGAGTTTGGTTTTTGTGGGGACAGAATTTGAACTTTGCTTTCTCAGTGCCACAAGCTCATCCTAAGTAGCAAAGTTCCTTGCTCATGCCTAGCGCCCAAGATACTGAATGCCCCAAACATTTCCCAGCAGGTATCAAGGTTCTTATGAGACTGCAACAATACCTAGAGTTCTCAAAGCTTTCTTTTTTTCAAGCCAGTTGTTTCTGTCTGCTGCTCAGTTCTCAGGGAAGCTAAATTACAAAGTAGTGGGATTAGGCAACCTCAAGGAATATGTAGCATCTCACAACACTGGTGTCCCTGTCTGGAGTGGTGTGAAGGCACACATTCATGCTGTAATCTTGAAAAACCTGACATCCTGGTTCTCACGTTCACAAAGTACTCAAGCAAACAAGAACCAAGCCAAACAAATGCCTATCAGAAACTGCCTGGAGAGCAAGTTTGGAAACTTCTGTCAGTAGATTCATTCACAAAGCAATTTGCTTTACACAAATTGCTGTTTCCTGGCAGAGAAGCACCTGACAAGCACCAGCTTTCACAACTACGTTAAAAGCTCCTGGTATTAGGCATTCTCATAGACAAGGTGCTGGACTGGTACCATCCCATCTCGTAAACCCCATAATCCACTGTCCACATCTCTAAAATGGAGATACAAAAACTTTCTTCATAGGCATGGTGCAGTTCCAGTTCTTCCTATGAAGTGCTTTGAAATACTGAGATGAAAGACTTGGTGAAAGTACAAAGTATTCTAATGAAATCTTAATAGACCCCTTTCTAAAAAAAATAAAAAATAAAAAAATAATCCAAACAGAAGTATAGTTGCCAAAAAAGCGTATTATGAAACTGGTTCTGTTTACTGGTGGTGGTTTTAGGAAGAAGATACAGGAACAAGACAAAATTTGCAGGTAAATTTAGAACTTGATCTGAAGCTGTCTTAATGTCACAGTTTAAGTGAAAGAAAACCTTGCTAACTACTAGTAGGTTTTATACTTCATCCAGAAAAGTCAACACACTAATACAGATGATCATTTTCAATTTCTAGGGCAGTGTTCTCCTGGGCACTACTCTTCAGATGGTTTTAAACCTTGTACAGTCTGTCCTCTTGGTACATATCAACCTGAACCAGGAAGGACCCTCTGCTTCCCCTGTGGTGGTGGGCTTGTGACCAAATATGAAGGTGCTGTTTCCTTTCAAGACTGTGAAACCAAAGGTGAATTCAAAATTCTTCCACAATACATCTTCCTACTTCCTGGCCTTTGGTTTATTATCATCAGTGCCAAGGGGCATTTGAAGGCTCCAAAACAAACATTGTTGCTGCATGGGCATGTGATTAAATGAAATCTGTAAGCTGGGAATGATCTTCCGAGGTTGTGCAGACTGAACAGGATTTACGGTTTTCTTTGGAATTTACCACAGGCAGGTATGGGGTCAGCACTGCTACTGGTAAGGAAATCAGCCCCACTGTGTGGCAATAAATAACACAAGCTTGGATTAGACAACGCTTTAGCTTTTGTGTCCTGTATATTTTTATTTACTATATCAAAAAAACTAAACACTACAAAAATTATACTAAGTTAATGATTGATTACTCATGGACTAGGCAGAAAATGTAAGCGTGCAACACATTCTATATTTTATAATGTCAACTTCCAGTGCCAATGCTGAAGAAGGAATACATTTTGGTTTAGTTACTGGAATGACATGCTGGCCCTGGCAAACAGACACTAATGGAATCCCGCTACCATGAAAGTAATTTTTCTTGTGGAGGTGGATTTACATCCTCTTCCATTTATTACAAATATATTAAATACAGTGAGATACATATCATGCATTTCTAGTTCATAAGGGTTTAGCTTTAGTCATGGGGTTTTAGTTGGAAGATCCTTTATACTGGGAAATATAGGGACCTGGTGTCTTTTCTGCCCTTTATGGCCTAATAAGTATGTTGCAGACCAGGTATGTCCAAGGCAGAGGAAAGTTCTCTGTGTTGGAGGTTGCTACTTTTTGAAAATAATACACCTCATACCTTGCAGTTCACTGTTCTCCTGGACACTACTACAACTCCACAACACACAGATGTATCCGGTGCCCTGTGGGAACATATCAGTCTGAATTTGGTCAGAACTACTGCATCGCCTGCCCTGGCAACACCAGTACAGATTTTGATGGCTCCACCAATGTCAGTCATTGCAAAAGTAAGTCACATTTATATCACTGACACAGAGTGTGTCTTTGGATATGAACTGCAGCTTGAAGGTTCCATCTGTCAGGCTGGACTTCAGTTTTGTATTTCCTAGTTAGCAAATATCTCCTGCCAGAGGGAGTTGTAAAAGTTGGGAAGACAATGAGGAAGAAAAGTTGGGGATTTCAGAGTGCCAGCTACAAGTTAAAACTACAAAGCCTTTCGTTTCCCAGATCCTGTAAGTTGTATAACAGTGATGCATATTTCTCTGTGTTTCTGTAGAGCAAAATATCTTCTATCAGAGTAAATGCCACGTAGAATAATTGTAAAATATTAGAAGTTATGGTCATGCATGCTGCAATTGCCAGGTAATCGCTTATGATAGTGAAATCTTCTTGGAGGCTTTTTTGCACTACTCAGCCTCCTATCCTACCATTTTAAATATCCCAAAGGATTTCAGTACAGTTTTATTTGATCCTTTGTGAATGACTGATTATTTTAGGCAAGCATTTTTTTTTTTCATCTCTACCATGCTAATTTAAGATAATGTTTCTATAATAAAGCAGTGTCATCTAACTATTCATCTGCAGATCTCCTGTAAATTTTTAGTCTGATGGTGTGCCATATGTCTTATAAGCCCTTCATAATTTATAATGTCATTTGAGTAAATGATATATTTGTATGGAATTTGAAGAAGTTTGATGACTTTCCTGTAAAATAAAACCATCCTTGTTACTCTGCTATCTTAGATCCTCTCAGTTTTCAAGCCAGTTTCTGACCTTGCATAATATTTGGGAGTTGGATTAAGCAAAATATTTTAACATGTATCTAATGTTACGTGGATGAGTGGGACTGGGGAGGTCAAGTTTTAAGTAACTTGTGCCAAATTCAGTAGGATTTTTGAAAACTCTGAAAGAAAAACTGATCCATCAATGGAGATCCTTTACTAACTGGTTTAATCTAAGATGAAGCAAGGCAAATGTGTAATCAAGTAAGGCTGGCTACTTGGACCAGCACTCTCATTCAGCTAAAGGCAGTTAAAATCCAAGTAAATTAAAGCAGAATATCTTCTGTATGTCAGCACAGTATCCAAGGCAACCACAATTGGATCATGTTTATTTACCTGTGTTTCTCAAGCAAAGTTAAAGCAGCCTGGATGAAGCATTTAGTCAGTACATGCACCGGAGAGATTAAGGTTTTGCAATCAGCTGCAGCAACCTTGTTGATCAAGAATTCCTTTAAAGCTGGAGAATGTGTGCATTTCTAAAGCCACAAGGAGGCGTTTAGACTTGTTCGTTGTAACTTTTCTCTAAAAAATCCTTTTTATCCTCTGTATCCCAGACTCCAACAGTTCATGACATATCTAGAAAAACACCTCAGATCAATTTATCAAGTAACACAAATGCTAATTTATGTTTCTCCCCAGACCAGCACTGTGGAGGAGAACTGGGGGACTACACTGGCTACATTGAATCACCCAATTATCCAGGAGACTACCCAGCTAATGTGGAATGCATTTGGAATATAAATCCACCCCCAAAGAGAAGAATACTCATTGTAGTACCTGAGATATTTCTCCCAATTGAAGATGAATGTGGTGATGTTTTAGTAATGAGAAAAAGTGGTAAGTTGCCAGACATGGGTTATATTTCCTGCAAACTGATGGGGTGAATAGTTCATATTGAAGGGATGTCTTCAGTGTAGCCACTGTTTCTAAAACTTTTCCTGAATGAAGTGGCTCAGCAAGTTAGAACACTACCAATAACTGTTAGCAGTGTGATATTAATTATTCAAATTTATTGTCTGAATCACAAAGCAGTAATGGGCTTCTGTCTCACCAAGTTACCACATAGAATAAATCATTGCCATTTAGAAGTAAACAATGATAAATTCTATTTGGGGAACTATCTCTGTAATCTCTACAAACTGTGTTCTCACCCTTTGTAAACATATATATGCTGCAGTTACTGCTAAATCTGGCCAGTGTGCTGGTACAACTGGAACCCTCAAGAAATCCAAAGTTATCCTGCTTTTCTGTGGAATGGAGGGGGTGCATTGTGTCTTTGATTATGAATTTAATTCAACAACTTCTGAAATTAAGATCCCAATGAAATGCACTCCTCTTTTGCATTGAGGATGTGGGCATCATTCTGGTGATTTGTTGCTAAATCAAGAAACACCAAACCTGAAAGGCAATTGTTCCTATGGAGTTTTTGTTCAAAACAGTGTATTTACTCACAAAAATTGTGTCTTTTATTTGCTAAAACAATTTTCACAACTTTTTATCCCTGAGGGCCTGTATAGACATCCCTGTATATCAGAAGGAAGACACCTGGTCACTATAGATGGAAGAAAGTTATACCTGTGCAGATGAGCATTTTTAAAAGCAAAACACTTAATACAACAAAACACATCAGTTGTCCTTCTGACCCCAAACTGTGGTTCCAACAGTGACCAAAGCCAATCACATCAGGGTAAAGTTTTTTTTCAGGCATGATTTACCCTTAGTGAAGCTGTGCTGGCTGTCACCAGCCACCTTCTCACATCCAGGTTAACTGTTCTATGGGTCACTGACTCTGCAGGGTGTGACAGTCTTTTATTCAGAATTACCATACCAACATTAAATTCTGGTTTTATTGTGTTTCTATTTATAAGTGGTTTATTGCTATCAGATGAACTCCCCAAACTGGCCATGTGAGGGACTGGCTACCATGTCTGCCTGGCATGCAGCTCACTTCTTCTTACCTATCTGGGACAAGCAAATGCATACTCTGGGATACAATGTTAGAGTAGTAAAAATAAAAAAAAATAATATTGATAGTAGTTTTATAAACATCAAAAATTATACCTTGCCATCTGCTTAAGCTTCTTGCTGAGGGATTCCCATTACCTTTGTGGAAAAACCTACTTCTCTTTGTAGGCAAATAAATCCATTCTATAAAAAGCTTCTGCTGTCAGCTGGGAAGTGTCTTCTCAATTTGGCATCTCTGACCCCTAGATGAGGAAGGGTGCAAAACTTATTTTATAAAGAAAATTGTTTAACTTTATTTCTAGCTTCTCCTACTTCAATTACTACATATGAAACATGTCAGGCATATGAGAGACCTATTGCATTTACCTCAAGATCGAGAAAACTCTGGATTCAGTTCAAGTCAAATGAAGGAAACAGTGGCAAAGGATTTCAGGTCCCCTATGTGACTTACGATGGTGAGAATGGAATTGGTTTACATCTCTGTGTTATATCTGAATTACAGAAAATTTTCTTTAGAATCTCACACTGTTTGCAGGGACAGAAGAACAAGGAAAAACTTATGTGCCTCATTTAATTTTAGTTGCAAAGACTTTGAAATAACATACGTCTATATAATGTTTGAACATTTATTTGTAGCCCTGTTTCTTCATCTCTAGAGTGGAGATAATACAGCGTTCTTATCTGGGGGAAGTAGTTTTTTGAGGATGTTTTTTGAATATTTATAGGGATAATTCAAAACCACTGTTATAAAAAATAGAGAATTTTAAGGTGATTAAATTGGAATACAGCCTGAGAGACACAGAATAATTAACTGGATACAAAAATTTCTCAGTTCTGTCTTCAAGAGGAGGTCTAGCTAATGTCTGACTATTGCCCTCCCAAAGGATGTCAGTCACTCAACTGATCTTTATTTTTCAGAGGATTACCAACAACTAATAGAAGACATTGTTCGAGACGGCCGATTATATGCATCAGAAAACCATCAAGAAATTCTAAAGGTAAGAAGTTTCTTCTTTCTTTGAGGCCAACCAAGAATTCCTAAGCATTTTCCTAAAATAGTTCTTGATACCTTAATAGAGTCATTATATTTAAAGCTCATAGGTGACCCCAAATTCAGTTCTCTGTCTTCTGAGATTTATGCTGCTATTTGAAGCAGCCCAAAATCAAGTAACTGAGCTAGGCTCAGCACATCCTTGCGTCCTTTGTAGAAGCAGGAACTCAGTGAAATATATGCTAATATGATTAATAAGACTGTATATTCAAAAAATCAGTCAGCCAAGAATGAAGGGCCTATTGTTTGAAGAGCCTTCTTCAGCCTCACTCTGTCATTTAAATGCTTATATGACTCATTAAGTTTTCTATGCATTAAAAAATGTATTTACCTAAATCACTATTTTGCCTCAGTAAGAAATGGTTTTCCAAAGATACAAGAAACACCTGTAACAACTAACTAATTAAAACTGAAAAAAAAAAGGTTGGTCAGACGGCAGAATTGAGCCATGTAAATGTCAGGCTTGGAAGGACAGGAGCTGAGGAAGAGCTGGCTCCCTTCGCCATCCTGCCCAGCACTGTTCTCTCCCTCCAGCTTTTGGGTTGCTCAGGTCCCAGCTGCAGTGCACAGTGCCAGGCACAGGCTCAGCTGAGGCTCTGAATCAAAGCTTTCCCAAGGTACACAAGAAAGTCCTTAGAAAGCTCAGCATCACTGAGGACCAGCCTTGTCTCCCATCCGTGGAGGGAAGGCCTGGACAGCAGTATGGAACAGGTGGGAAAGACAGTCAGAGACAGCTTTCAGTTTTAATGCCTGATACCTGCAGTTTGTGGTTAATTCGGTGCTGCCCTCCCAGGGCAGGACCTGCCAGGAGCACTTCAAGAAGCATCCAGCACAGCAGGTACACTCATCCCTCTAAAACTCCACAGCAACATAGAGCATTTCTTTACACTGCTTTACCCAGACTCAAGGTCTGCAAAATAGACCTGAGTGTTCTTCAATTTTGAAACCTGTGTAGACACTAAATCCAAATCTTGCTTTTATCTAACATACCTATGTTGTCTTCCATAGGACAAGAAACTGATTAAAGCTCTCTTTGATGTATTGGCACACCCTCAAAACTATTTCAAGTACACAGCACAAGAGTCAAAAGAAATGTTTCCAAGATCATTTATAAAGCTACTGCGATCGAAAGTTTCCAGGTTTCTACGACCATACAAGTAGTCCAGTGGTATTCAATTTTTGGTTACTTTGAATTCCTGTCAAATATTGTCTTTCCTCCATAGTAGAAATATTTGTTAATTTGAAAGCTCTTTTCTGCAGTCTTTGTTCTCAATAGTTATTGAAGAACACCTGTAATGTTTTATAATTGTTAAAAGTCAGTGTTCTGAATGGGATTCTTGCCAAAAAAAAAAATTATACATGCCTGAGTACCTCTAGTTGTAGATCCAAATTTGTGTCTGCACTAGTGTATCCTCACTTTCCATCTGAAATCTCACTATGTAAAAATATTCTTTCTAGCTTTTTATTTTTCATCAACAATATCTTTTGTCAAAGAAAGGAGAAACCTATTCAAATATGATTAAACTACCTGCAGATAAGTTCTCTTATGGAAAGAAGTATGTAGTATAAATAATACTTGGATTTTGAATTGCACTTGAAGTTTATATTTGAATCTTTAGACAAAAAAAACAATCAAAATTTTATTATTTCTCATTTGTGGCTTAATGGAACCTCTGTCCAAGTAGAAATAATAAAAAAAAAATATAATTTTGTTTTATGAATTACATGAGATTGAGTTCCATACCCTAATGTCCTAATGTTTTTATCTGTTCTCTTCTAAACTTCTTCAGAGGTTTGCCACTCTCAATTACTTAATTGAAACAGATTTAGCTCTGGATTTCCTTGCTTCAGTTGGTCCCTTTGAAAACATTTACAATAGGATATGTGAGAAATGAACAACAACACTAGTAGTCTTGGTTTTCTTTCCATTAAGAGAGCATCTAATTAAGTACAATATATAAATATATACTTCTATTTGTGGGTACATTAGTAATGTTATCTCTAGTTACTGTAAATATTCATGCTTAAATCTTTACTCCCACACATCCTATTTACTCATATCTATATGTAACTTTGTGTAGACAATTAAATGACTTCTCCAAGTGCTTGTCACTTCTATTAACACCCAGCTAAAGCCTTTAGAGGTTTTATAATACAGGATAATGGTTTACTCTGGGACAATCTCTTTCAATATGTATTATTCCAGGAAAAATAGCATCAGTGGAGATGTAACTGCTGCCCAATAAAGGGTCAGCTGTTGCCTCTTCCTTGGGAACCCCCCACATGCAGACCAAGAGTCACCCTCAGGACACGTGGGAGGGGCTCAGCAAGGAGGAGCTGTTGCTGGACCTGCTGTCTTTAAAACACTGGGAATGCAACTGTGTCCAAGCCCCAGATTGTCAGGGGCTCAGGGGTGAACAGGACACGGTTTTGCAGAAGAGTTGGAGGGCAGGTTCTGTGTTTGCTGGAACATGGCTCTCCCCTTTATCCTAAATTTGTAGCCACAGTACCCATCAAGCACAGGGACTGCAGGAGAGCTTTAGCCTTGTGCTCAGGCCGTGCTCACAGAGCAACAGTGGGTTTACCATGACCATAAATCTTGGATTTCCTGCTGTTTCCTGACACAGAAGCTAAATCAAATGAGAGAGAAGCTTTTTTTTTGTATTAGTTTTTCAGCCTCTTTCCTTTTCAGTCCTTTCCTCTTGTGTATCATTTTTCCTTTTGATTCTACAAGTTTATTAAATGGAGAATTGAACTCTCCTGGCAGCATCCTTTCAGAAAAAGACTAACACCCAGTTTTGCTTTGCTGCTTTTTTTTTTTTTTTTTTTTGGCCTGTCCCTTGTAGTTTAACACATCTTTGGATGATCTCAAAGACATATATTAGGAGTGGTTGTGATTATCTTCTGACACTTTTTTTGTCCTTGAGCAAGTACTGCTTAAATTTATACAATTGGTTTCTGTTGAATACAAGTGGCTGAATATTCCATTTCTAAGAGAACACACCTTACGTATTCTATTGAGTTCTTCTACTTAACCATCTTGTAATTTTGCTTGCCTTTTTTCCTTTTCTGTTGAAGAATATCACTTTTTTCTTTCTATGCCTGAAAAACCTGATCTCACAGTCTAACAATTCTTTTTTTTCCACTCATGGACCTCAAATCTTTGGTGAGCTTTCTTTTTAATATAGACATTAACCCTTGTTAAAAAATGTCACTTCTCCATAAAAGTCCTTTGTTAAAGGCTGTTAAACCTAACTTTTTCTTGAGGATGTTGAAACTACTTTTATTTATTATTCACCAAGGGTCACTAAAAAGAACAAATTTTCATATTTTTTTTCTTTAACAGTAGTCATTTGTACAAAAAATTAAAAAGCAAAAATCTTTTCAGGTACTCAATTATGCTGGAGTATATAACTAAAAATCTACTTTAGCCAAACAGTAGTTCAAAGTCTGATGGGTTATTCAGAGTTTTATTCAGATCAATTAGAATGAGTCAGGATTGCAGCCATTCTACTGAAAGATATGAAGGAAATATATGAAAAATATGGTGAAAAAAACTTCCTCACTTGGCAAATTATTTACAGTGATCTTTAGTGTTTCAAACTTGAGTAAGCAAACTTCAGAACCTGGTACTGTACACTGAGTAAAATCCTTGCTAAAGTTTTTGCTTAACAACCAACATGTTTGGACGTAATACCATTGTATGACACTGATGCCAGACTCCAGAAGCCACTGGCAGCACTGTAACATCTTCCGGGTTCTTAGCTCCATGGGAAATCCCATGCCAGAGAGAACTCATAAGAGGGACAAGTCCCAATTCTGCCCAGTGGTAGTGGGACCTCGGTAGAGCTGTGAGAGGTGAATACAGGTGTGAGAGAAATTGCATTTGGCTCTGGTACCACTTGCCCTGACTTAAAACCACACTACAAAAACACAGGGTTTTGTCCAGTTCATCCTGACAGTCAACCTGAGAATGAGGCTGGTATTTCCCAGAGCCAGATCAGGGCAGGGACTCCATGGTCAGGACAAGGTACTTGTGGACTTCAGTGGCAAACACAGGCTTTGTGCTGCTGAAGGAAGGTGCTGAAAGAAAGAGAATAATTTGACCCTCAAAAGCTGACACTTAAATGCTTGTGGACATAGAGGGGGCTCATATCTGACATATTTAAAAAATTAGTCAGGCTTGAATGCTTGTCACTCTGCATAGAAATGCTCTCAGATGTGCAAATTTCTAATGAAATAAGTAATGACAAGTGGTATATATGGCAGTCTGAACTGGTTTCAGTTGATTCAGAGAACAGCACAGAATTTTTTTATCTGCTCTAGAAGTTAAAAATGCTTTGACTTTCATACTAGATTTACAGTTACAGAAACAGGCAGTCATATAGAAGGTGAGTTCATCTCTTCATCTGTAAGTGTAGGATGCCTTCATTGTCAAAGTCAGAGAACCTGTTGCTGCTACACAGTAACAGCACAACAACAAAGAATGTTTTCTTCTACACAGAACACCTACACACATTTGGGAATCAGAAACCATACAAGGAGAAATACAGCTGCCTTTAAGCAAACCAGCTTCATGAAAATGGCAGAATATAACATGTTAGCTTTTACCCTGAATCTGAAATACTGCATCTGAACATATCAATAAATAAAGCCCTGTATCTGTTCTTACAGAATTACGCATTGTCAACAGCACAGGTGCAACAACACATTTATGTGTTATGGATGCTGAATGCAAGAAAGCAGGCAGGGAGCACAGAGCCTTTGTGAAACTAAGTCACACAAGGTTCTCACTCTGGCCTGAGAAATCATAAGGAGGAATCCAAACAGTCCTTGGAGAAGACAACAACTTTTGCAGGTGCTGTTTAGATCCTTGTTATTTACTTGCAAGAAACAGTCAAGGGGTGTAGTACCCAATTGACCAGTGATGGTGATGTGTTGGTTTAATGATCAATGAGAGTTTCACCTCTCAAACGTTCTCGGATCTGTCTATAAAAGAAGATCTGAAATAATAAAACTTGCTCTCTTGGGCAACCCAGCTAAGAGAGTCTGTGTCGTAACTCACAGTTCCGAATGTAGTGCGACAATGTCTTAGTTACAGATAGACTGAAGAAGTGCCCATTTATGATTTACCAATTCTGTGGCATAAACAGAGCTCTTTATTTTCAATTTGCAAATGCCTGTGTGCTTAAAAGCTGCAACTGCAGCACTTACCGTTTTAAGCCTCTCTTTCTGATTTAAATACTGCACTTATTTTTAATGAGGTGGTGGCGAATCATCCCTAAACATTCTCACAGGCCACCAAACCACTGTCTGCACACCTGCTGCAGTCCAGGACACTGCAGCAATAACAAGCTGCTCATCAAGCCCTGAGTTGTGTCTTGAAAGTGCTGAGGAAACAAAAGTGCCTCTGTGTGTCATTTGAGTACAGGGAGCAGCAGGACTCCGTGTTCAGTGGATTGCCACCTCTTCTGCCACACTGTATCTTGCCTTCAATTACAAGGCTTACTCTGCCTGGAGATTTAGCTCCTGAAACTGGATTTTAAAGTCTTGCTTCCAGCCCATTTTCTTGCCCCGTCTTCCTTCTTCCATCATACATTAGATTTTTACCTAAAGACCAACTTCTCAAAAGAAATTTATTTCCTCATTGTGCCTCCCCCATAGAATAAAGTTATGACTACTTCAGATTTAGACTAATCCTTCCTACACAGCAGCTTCATTCTAGAGTAAGCTTACTTAAAAGTAAGTAAACCTACTTAAAACTAGCTTACCTTGTAAGCCAGATTTAGTTTAGTTTAATTTAGTTTAGTTTAATTTAGTTTTAGATTAGCTTAAATAAATACAGGATTGGTCAGAGAGTTTTCAGAGGGTCCACATTCTGAGTTGTCAGTGGGTTTTAAAGAGCACAGCTCACCTGAAATCCTGTCTGTGAGCAGAATGCAAGGATGCTGCCATATGAGTGAGAAACATTCTTTACATGTGTTCAGCATACCAAAAGGACAGTCAAACCCCCCAACCTGTGCCTTTTTATAAGCCTGCCCAACACATTCAAATTTTTCAGATCAGTCTTACCTATAAAAAAACTAGTTTTAATCTTGCAGACAGCAGGTTAGGAACTTCAGGAGCAAAAGTAGTGCTGTGATTCTTACACAAGATCTGCTGACACGTGTTTGACAGCAAAGCTCATCTGCTCTGTGACAGCTCCCATATCTGGACTATCTAAATACCTTTGAATGCTCTTAAAAACTTAGCTGGAGTAAAATTTTCAACAACTGGACCCAGTGGCAAATTTCTCAGCCACTTCAGAGGTCTGGATGATTTCTTAATGATGGGAATGAGTGACACACACAGTTCCTTATATCTGTATCATGACTTCAAGGAGTTGCATTTTTTCATGGTTTAAAACCACTGATTGAAAAGGAATGGGAGTAACTGGAGGAGTTCTTACAGAATCTCAGTACTTTGGGACCTTAATTAAACAGTTTTCTAGAATGAGAGGCACTTGGGAAAAGGAATACTCTTGTCTTCCAGAAGAATTTTTGGAAGAAAGGAAATTTCTGTAAGGTACTATTCTGTAGGGAATTTATTCCTCAGTGAGAGACTTGGATTCAGAGACAAGTCTTGTGTTTTATCTCACAGCTGAATAGAAGCAGAGTGGGAATAAACAATGTCAAAAAACTGTTATCTAAGGATCTGAATATATACAATTCCAGTTTGTTACTTCATTTATTTATTCTTTCATCATAAAGCTTTTAATCTATAAAATTAATATGTAATATACAAGAGTAAAATGTACAGAAGTACCTTTAGATCTAATAATTTAAACCATCATTCAGAGAGTGGAGATAACAACTTTAAAGATATACAAACAGTTGCAGTTCAATTTTCTCAATATCTAGGAAAAAAGTGGCTTTGATTAATTAAACTTTATTTTAATTATTGTGAAAATAACTTTTTTAGAGTTTGTTTTTGTTACTTTTTTAATTAAAATTATTTTGTAAATATTGTTTTCTATGTTTTATAACTTAGAAAGGCCATTAATTTGCATTGAGAGCAGCAGGGACTCAACATGTTGATTATAAAGATACTTTAGGAGACTGGGGTGGATGTGAGGCAGTTGCCAGATTTATCCTTCCAGATTACAGATCCTGTTATTTCTCCAGTCTCGCAGGCATGACAGGAAGAGTTTTCTGGGGCAATTTAACACCCTACTTGAAACTTGACTATCAAGTGTCATTCTAAAGTGCTTCTCATTTTCACAACATAAGAAGAAGATGTATTTTAAAGTTCTTCTTTTTAAAGTTCTTCTTTTACTTTTAGGATAAGAAACAGCATAGAGGTCAGAAATAAAAGGGAATTTATTCCCTTGGATCAGATCACAGAGCCTTTTTTAGACAAAATCACTGAGGCCAGTGGTACTTTCATGTGCAAAGAAGTTCATTATGATCATGTCCAGCACCAGTTTAAGCAGAAATTTCTGGCAGGCTGGATTTCAGGGGGAAGCACACAGGATACAATACTGATTTCTGCATCAATTTGCTCCACATAAACCACTGTAGAGGAGTGAGATTTTAAACTGAACTGTTGTAGAGGCTGCTGGGACTT